CAGGTAAACCATCTCCATACCACATCTCACATGGGAAAAACAAAGGAGCAGGAATAAAGATTGTTTTCTCTTCGCTCTGTGCTTCTCCTGAGAGACAGAATTATGTCTCTCCGTCCAGAGAATGTGAATGTCACAATGTGCTTTCCACATCCTGCCAAACCACCAAACCTTGCGTGCTTGTCACAAATACCCTTCATGACTTAAAATAATGAAGACTACCATCACAATTTGCTTATACCAAGCCCCAGAGTGGTGTGATTTGGGAGATTAAAAGCAAAACAAAACAAAAGTCAGAAAAGCCAACATGGTGGAAATATGAAAAGAGGATTTTTGGAGAAGATGGACAATTTCAATTAGGGGACATCTTTCCAAATATTTTTATGAAAAAAATTCCAGTGATGGCAATTTGTAAGCAAAAATACACATCTATACTGCTATAACTTTATTTCCAAATCCCTTCCTTCACTGCTATCAGAACTCTGGGGGCTGCTTTCTAAAACATCAAGTGAAAAACATATTCCTGAGTGCACAGAACCTTCTAAAATTAGACAGATTAATGGGACCCTAAACAAAACCAAACCACAGAATAATGGAGAGGTACACAAATAATCCGAGGTGAAGCATCTTTAACCAGACTAAACTGAAGCACATTGATGCATTTCTGTGGAGAACCCAATAGAAGGGATCAGGAAAGGACACAACAAAATGATCTCAATTTCCTGTGCCTCTAACTTCATCTCACGTCAAATAACAAAAAACAAGAGAGGTAGTCTATGATGATGATTATACTGCTGCAATTCATCTACGTAGAGAATCCGCTGAAGGCTTGCACTAACATTATTCATACCTGCAGCATGACATTACAGAAAATCTTCTCATAAAACAAAGCAAAGTGACAAAATCATCTTGAACTTTGATCTTACCAAAATGGAACTCTTCTGCATTTTTCCTCTGACTATTGGCCTCTTCATTAACCAACTGGGTGCTCCTCCGTCTCATGCTACTGTACACGTAGGTATGGTCAGTATCTAAAAGAAAACAAAGAGAAATAACTTGGGTTTCTGTCCAGGGAATTAATGTACAGCACGGGAACTGCCTTGAATTTAAAAAATCTAACAAGAATCAGGAATTGTGTTTATGAGGGCATAAAATTTTGCAACCATTAAATTACATAAGTAACTTCAGAAACCTCCTGATCTTACCTCTGAAGGAACAACTTGTTCCTTCAAGAGGGCCTGAGCAAAGCACAAGACAGTAAAAAACAAAACTTCTTTTGGACTTCCTAAGGAAAACAACATTGGCTTCTGAAACAGGATTGGGCACCGCATGATGGGAAAACGACCATGCACCAGCAAAAGGAATTACAGAATAAATTGTGCAGATAGGGACTACCTTTGTTATCTAACTGGAAGTAATATCATTCCATAGTAGAACTCAAAAGACCGTACCTATGTTTTCTCTTGAAGAGCTCAAATGTTCTAAAACCAAATTTAAACCAGTGTAAAAGCAAAAAAATTCATCAAACTGGTTAACTCTGCCTTAAACACACGCAAGTGGAAAGGCAGAAGAACAGAAAAACTAGCAATGTCTCAGAGAGCTGCTACTCATCCTGTCACTTCCAAACCCATGTCTCCCTTCCTTGAGCTAATGAGCTTTTTAGACTGCCAATTAACAATACCTACAAAGCCAGAGAGAAGAAATGGTTAGAGCAGACAAAGAAAACTAATTTCACATGCAGAAAAACATGCACCCATGTCACCGAGGGCATGGTTTACTTAGCAAGGATAATATCACATCTTGACAAATCTTGTACCTATACAGTTCTATCACAGAAAACCTTTGCAGAGCACTTTTACTTTTGAGGTAAAGGTCATTAAGCAGAACTTACTGACTCTTCTCATACAAATTATTCTGTTGAGGTAATATTGGAATTATTTCCATGCTGCATTGTAATACAGTGAAAGTAATGCCAGAAGTGTTCACCCTGTCCAATATGCCCTG